TACAGCATAGGTCAGGATTTCAGCAAGAGGAAGGTAAGGATTTTTGAGGAAATATTGCTGTAGAAGAGCTCAATATCCTCATTAACATCCAACACCCCCAGTAAAATACTAAGAGAAATTACATTAACTGTTCTTGCCAGCTTTAATATTAAACAAATATTGCAGGTGGGCACTAAATCAAGTAGATGAATTTGCTTCTCTTGCCATGCCAGTTGGTCATCTTTTCCTACCTTCTAAAAAGGTGCTGTGACACAAGGAGACCCACTTGGCCTGAAGATTTAGAGCAAGGGAGGGAGGAGACGGAAAGAAAAGTCACAAGGAGGAGTACCCTGTAGAAGAACAGCTGGCCAGATGTTCCCTGGTGCTTTGAAGATGGAGCACCACCAAGGCAGTCTTTAGTCTTTGAGGTATGGGAGAAACTGAAACTGCCAGCTTCACAGGAAATGTTCCTACTTTTAGCAGAAGATTTGTTAGCTTGGTGTTTTGTGTAAAACTGTAAATATTTTTAAGTGGACTTGGATAATGTTTACATAGTGAAAGTGAAGGAAATTTTTGCTTGCAGTAATCCAAAGAGTAAATCTTACTACAGCTGTCATCTTAGCAGAAAGGTCAACTGCACCTAAAAATGCTTTTCCTAGTATGTAAACGGTTGAAAAAAATACACTGAAGAAGTAATCAGTGGTTACATGTCATTCTGGAAGGCTGTCTGTAAGCCAGTTCACAGAAGTTTCTACTCAAACAGATACTGCTTGGCAAAGTCCTGTATGATTTTGAAAATGGAATACAGACAATGTGTGTTGAGTTTGTAGTTGATACCCTTCCACTCAGATAGGATTCAGGCTCCTTAAAGAAAGGGTTACCAGTCCCAATAATGTGGACACATGAGAGAAATATCTGGCAGAAAGATACGGCTTTGAAAGAACAGGTGCAAAGCGTTCTGCCGAGGTGGAAATAGTTATCTGCACAAGTACGAGAGGGTGAAAAATGGAGTGCAGGAGCATGTTGGCAGGAAAGGAAATGAGTGTTAGAGTAAGTTAAATGGCAAGTGAATCAGCCGTGCTGCCTGTTACGGAAGAAAGATTAACCTGTGGAGATACGTAAACACACAAAGCATGTGAACCTTGGTGCTTGTGAGGCCTCACTGGACTGTTGTGTCCCTTTTTGGATCCTTTTTCAGGATAGGTATGGTCTAACTGGAGAGTAGAGCCTAATATGAACGGTCAGAGATTGAAGAAATAGGTTCCACAAGGAAATACTGAATATTGGCTCTTAGTTGAAGAAAGGGAGAAGGGAGTGTGACAGCACACTTCGAATATCTCAAAATGTGCAGCCAGCCAGACAGAAGGGGAGTAAACTGTCCATCTCCTTTGGGGATTAGAGATACGGCTTAAAACATGACGAGGGAAATCCATGGGACATCAGGGATGCTCGTTGGAGATGCTTTGTGTGGAAGTGATCCTACCCTGGGACCCAAGGATGGACTAGATGGCTGTGTAAAGCTTTTGGTGCTTCTTCTAGTGAGCAGTCCCCTGCCTAAGTGTTGAATGACTGGTGCAGCTGACCTCATCTATTAATTGTAATTGATTATAACAATGGTTAATTTAATGAGTTTGTGTATTTAATACTTTAGCGATGTGCATCTTTTACTCAGGCGCGCAGCTAATAGAAGATTAAAATTCATTGCTGCTAACTGATGCTCTAGGTTTAATATTATTTTGGTCAAGCCTTTACATTGAGAGTAAAATGGCTAAAAGTTGCCAGGGTGGATGCAGGCACAGGAGAAATCCAAAGAGAGCATTAGCAATGCTTTACTTCTGTGTGGTGCTGATTTCCGCCCCCCCCCCGGCTCTATTTCCACTCTCACTTAGGGATTGAGTAAATTGAAGTAGGCAAATACAAGTAAATGGTCATACCGAGTGTCCCTTCTCTTGAGTTTCACTGGTAGACAACTGCGAACAAATTGGGTACTATCAGAGGAATTTTAGTGGTTTGCTTATTGTACGGAATGATCATCATCAGTATGTGATGCTGAAAGCAGTGGCGGATCTGAAAGGAGTGGTCAGAGCAGAAATCGAGCCCCACAGCCATTGCTGGCAACCCAAGCTCATTATTGGACCCTGTGGTGCTGCAGGTATGTGGTTTTGAGCCTTGTCTGTGCAAATCCAATCCTCCCCTTCAGTGTGGGAAGGGTGGTTTTTTGCATGTTGCTTGTTAGCATCTGTCTACAGCCTGAGCTGCTGAGCTGGTCACATGCTGATGAGCTTATTTTTGTGAAATTAGTTTGTTTTGTGGTGTAATAGGCTACAGTCTAAACTTTCCTGTTTTTTTTTTTTTTTCCGTTTTTTTTTTTTTTTTTTTTTTTTTTTTTTTTGCGTGTGACGTG